CAGACCATACTAAAAAATCCACCATAAATTACTTTAAGAAACGCAAAAAATCCACCACAAATTACTTTAAGAAACGCAAGCTTAAGCTTTTGGAATGGCCCTCACAGTCTCCTGACATGAACGTCACTGAAATTCTGTGCGAAGACCTGAATTAGCCAAAGAATATCACAGCAAGAAAAGCGTGCAGCAAGGAAGAGTGGTTGACTCCTAACTGGTTACAATTTTTTTAGCAAGCTATGAAATATTGAGCTTTTACTCAGTACTGACTTAGAGTGTCAGGGGCTGGCCTAGGACCAAAGAGTGTCCAAACTTTTGCACATGCCACAATTACTATTTTTTTTTCAATTTTTTAAAAAGTTCTTCAATAAAAAGTAAACGTGCATTAACATTTGCAGAAAAATGTTTTTATAGAACAGTTTGTTGCAGAGGTTGTGTTCACTGTTTTTCGATTTAAACATTGACAAAATACACTATATGGACAAAAGTATTGGGACACCTACACATCCCATTCTAAATCCATGGGCATAATATGGAGTTGGTCCCCCTTTGCAGCTATAACGGCTTCCACTCTTCTGGGAAGCTTTCTACAAGATTTTGGAGCGTGTCTGTAGGACTTTTAGCCCATTCATCCAGAAGAACATTTATAAGGTCAGACACTGATGTTGGACAAGAGGGTCTGGCTCACAATCTCTGTTCTAGTTCATCCCAAAGGTGTTTAATGGGGTTGAGGTCAGGGCTCACCCAGCCAGGCCTTTATGGAGCTTGCTTTGCGCTCTGGGGCTCAGTCATGCTGGAACAGAAAAGGGCCTTCCCAAACTGTCCCATCCCAAAAAGTTGGAAGTGTACAACTGTCCAAAATGTCTTTGTCTGCTGAAGCATTAAGATTTCCCTTCACTGGAACTAAGGGTCCTAGGCCAACCCCTGAAAACAACCCCATAGCACTACCCTCCTCCACCAAACATTACAGCTGGCACAATGCAGTCAGGTGGGTAGCGTTCTCCTGGCATTCGCCAAACCCAGACTCGTCCATCAGACTGACAGACAGAGAAGCGTGATTCGTCACTCCACAGAATACATTTCCACTGCTCCAGAGTCCAGTCGCGGCACTTTACACCACTCTATTCAACACTTGCCATCGTGCTCGGTGATGGAAGGCTTGCAAGCAACTGCTTAGCCATTGAGACCCATGCCATGAAGCTCCCAGTGCTGTTTTTGTGCTCTTGTTAATGCCAGAGGAGGTTTGGAACTCTGCAGTTATTGAGTCTGCAGAGCGTTTGCAAATTTTATGCACTATGTGCCTCAGGACCCGTGACCCTGCTCTGTAACTTTATGTAGTCTGCCACTTTGTGGCTGAGTTGCTGTGGTTCCTAAATGTTTTCACTTTTCCATAATGCTACTCACAGTTGATCTTGGAATATTTAGGAGGGAAGAAATTTCATGGCATATCCTACTACAGTACCACTCTCGAATTCAGTGAGCTCTTTAGAACGACCCATTCTTTCACAAATGTTTGTAAAGGCAGACTGCATGGCTAGGTGCTTGGTTTTATACACCTGTGGCAATGGGACTAATTAAACACCTGAATTAAATGATTAAGAGGTGTCGCAAAAAAACATAAAAGTTAATAGTTAATATAGAACAGATACATTATTTAAAACTGACGACACTCTAGCTGTAGATTGTGCAATTCAGTTGTGGAAATGTTTTGGAAATATTACCCAGGCTAAAAGATAGAAGGAGAAGCTAGAGAGTGATCTTAGTATACATAGCAGGCACTAGGCCACTTCTACTTCATGCTGACTTTCAAGGTAAAACGATCATATTTCAGTGGTTGAGAGAACATAAAAAAACAAAAATAGAGGGTATGCTGCACTGTTGATTTATGAAGGAAAACCTTGTGCTAAAATGGGGACAGGGACAGCTCTGTTGCATCATTTCTATTACTGCAGTTACTACAGCATAATTTTCCTATTAACACACACACACAGACACGCTTTCTAAACCTCTTATCCTCCTGGGTCGCAGGGGCTACTGTTGCCTATCCCAGCGCTCACTGGGCAGAAGGCATCATCCTGGACGGGTCGCCAGTCCATCACAGGCATATACATGCACACACACATTCACATCTAGAGTTTTAGCATCTCCAATTGGCCTGACTGCATGTCTTTGGACTGTGGGAGGAAACCAGAGCACCCGGAGGAAACGAGCACAGACACGGGGAGAACATACAAACTCCACACAGAAAGGACCCTGTGCGTTCCTATTAACAGTTGAAGTACATTTTAATAACCAACCTTTACCCCCAAATAACTTTGTAATTAACTGTGTACTGTGTTTTTGCTGCCATTTTTTCCTGGAATTTTTGAAAGCCTGATGTGCATTTTTGACGGCATCTTAATTTGAATTAAAAATGAAATCCTCGCTCTTCTTACAGGCCATGATCGGGCTAAAGTAACGTTTACAATAAGGAACTCTCTGAGAACGTTGCTGTTGGCATCTTTAACGCAGCGAGACGAACGAGATGCTCGTGGATATAAAATCAAAAAGGGCTTTAATGTTTAAAGGACAGTTCGAAGTCAAAGAACCGAAGTCAAGCCAGGTCAAAACCATGAGTAGAACAAGTGGATACATGGACAAGGCAAAAACATAGTTGCGATACACGCTAAGGTCAAAAACCAAAGTTCACAGACAGAAAGACAGAAACAAGAAACCACTCAGTATGCACACGGAAAGAATGGCAATACTTTGTAAGACAAACAAAGGGGTATTTATACAAACATTCACAATGAAACACAGGTGAATTAAATCAGTAGTCAAGTGAGGTGCTTCTATAAAAACTGTCTGAGATTGGCTGATGGAGGGCATATGTCTATGATGTGTTTAAGATAATTATATCCATTCTATATTAAACATGTTTGAAGCTTGCAAAAGACATTCCCTGTTTTATGTAGAAATGTTTTTCCTTCATCTGATAAGTGACAATTACAGAGACACAAGGTTTTGTTCCGACAGTGACGATATATTAGCATGTAGCTGCCACTGTTTCCCATTTCTAACATCTGCCTGAAACATATTGGTCAGACTTGATTTGTATTTAGTCACTGATGTATCTAGAACATCCTTCTGTTTTTCTGACAAAATTATAGCTGCCACGTGTGGGTAGTTCACGTAACACGTCTAGCACCTGAAGTCGTAATCAATGGCACAGCTTACACGGCTGTAAGTACCTAGATGCCACAAAGAAAAAAATCCTGATTGAATCATTTTCTGCTGTGCGTTTTTCAAAAATGTAATCCTTTTCTTTCCACACAAAACATTAAAAAAAGAATATTACTATAACACTTGCAGTTTAAATATGACAACTGTAATAATTACTTTAAATAAAAACGAGCTAAAAATTACAGATGTACTTTTTAACATGTATTTTTTTATTTCACAGAAATAATTAGGCATTCTCTGAAGTAAACACCTCTGCTGCAGCACAGAAGACTCATCAGAAACACTTATCTGTGAGCTCATCACAAAACTCAACCTCTGAAGTACTTGCAAAACATCTAGGAATTTTGGAAACAAGTGCTGTGGACTGAGGAAGTAAAAGTGGAATTCTTTATCTACAATCACCAAAAGTATGTATAGAGGAAAAGAATGAGCAGCATTTGATTTGAATGACACCTATGGAATCTGTTAAGCCTGGGGGTGGATCTATTATGCTTTGGGGTTTTTAGCAGCCAGTGGAACAGGAAACATTGCACAAGTTGATGGAACAATGAATTCCACTATGCATCAGAAACTTCTGAAAGTAAATGTGACCCAGTTTGTCAAGAAAGTGAAGCTGAAAACAGACTGGTTTCTACAACAGCCTCCCAGTCCCCTGACTTGAACATCATTGAAAATCTGTGTGAGGACCTTAAACGGGCCAAGAATATCACAGAAATAGAAGCGTGTTGGAAAGAAGAGTGAGTGACCACTAGCTGGTTACAATTTTTTTTAGTAAGCTGTGATATCTGTCAAAGGGGTTTTTATTCAGTACTGACTTTTGTACATGCCACAATTACAATTTCATCTTTTTTCCATTTTTTTAAACAAAAAAGTTCTTCAAATCGAAAGCAAATGTGCATTAACATTTAAAGAAAAATGTCTTCCTAAAACTGTTTGCTCCAGAGGTTGTGTTTACTTCTTTTCACTTTAAACATTAAGAAAATATGTCAACTGGCCAGGGGTGTAAACAGTTTTATGTACAGTTACATTTTAAATTATTAAGTTGATGATGTTGACATGGCTCATGAAACCTGTGTAAATATTAAAGAATTATGCAGTTACTACAGCACAATGTTCCTATTAACAGGTCAAGTAAAGTTTAATAACCAACCTTTACCTCCAAATAACTTTGTGATTCACTGTCTACTTCGTTTTTGCTGCTGTTCTTTTTCCATTTTTTTCCTGGAATTTTTGAAAGCCTTAATTGCATTTTTGGTGGCATCTTAATTGGAACTAAAAATGAAATCTTCGCTCTTCTAGCAGGCCATGACCGGGCAAAAGCACTTAACATATACAAGGAACTCTGTGGAGAAAGCAGGATGTATCGCTGTTGGCACCATATCTAAAACAAATCTTTAATCATTATTTAATAGATGACGCATTTCAAATATTTACTTCAAAAAATGTACTTAACTCACATAACTCACATTTCTCTCTTGTTTTCAGTATGATAGGTTATTCATGAGCTTTTATCCTCATCTTTACCAAGAGTGCTAATAATTATGGAGGTGACAGCTGACTATAAAATGAACAGCTTACCATAAAAGACAAGGCAAAATGCAAAACCTCAGAACAGTATTTGTACAACAAAGGTAGGTAATGTTACAAAAATACTTTGTTTTTTGATGGATTAGCACGGAACGATCATGACTGAGTGACACACAAAATGATCTTTAAACTGGTAGGGCCTGTTATTGTGTTGTCATGCAAGTCTGCAGCTGTGGAACACTATAAATACGGGACCTCCAGCTAGCAGCACAACAAAGCTGATTAGTTTAGCTTGTGGCCAGAACATTGCAGCAGGTAGACAATGGAGGAGAGAACAACAATGCAGGTGAGATGGCTGTGTCTGTAATATTAAAAAATGATTTGTTACTTGTTGAGCAATATGAACCATTTCTAAAACTTATCTGAGCTGGGTTTCCCAACAGCATCGTAGCACAAAGATGATTCTTAAATGGTAGAGAGAGTGTTCAGTAGGATGCTCGCTCTACCATTTAAGAATCATTTTTTTGTGCTAAGATGCTGTTGGAAAGTTTTAAAAATGGTTGATGGGTGAGCAATTTTTATATTGCTGACAACATATTAAGTCAATACAAGCATTATGATTTTTTTCTCAACAGCTCCTTTTGCATTTATCCTTAATAAGGTTATTTTGTTTAACCAGCTTTTTTTGTTCCTTGATTTGTTTGTACATCCAATGTTGCTGGCAATGAAATTTAGCCCTTTATTATCATTTCTACAGAACACAGCATATCTCAAAAAGTATTTAACCCCTTAACATTCCAGGCTTATTACATACTAAGGCTTATTATACATTAACTACAGGGACTTCAATGGAAACTCATGGAGCTTATCAGAGATTATGGAAGTATGTCCTAAAAGTTTGGGCCCATTGGCAGGCCTATGGCTCAGTAGGGGTAAATGAATAAATTCTTGTCTTTAGCTTACGCTTGGTACAGTATAGTCGGTAACAGCACCGCTGAGGTTTGATTATATGCTTCAGAAAGAACCCAGAGCAAGATCTAGATTGGCTTTTTTTGGGCAGCAGGTCTACAGTGGTTAACTATGCCATTTTTTTTTTACCTTAGTGTTTAAAATTTATTATTTTAAAAAATAATGAAATTGCTGATGTCAGTGGATGGTTTCTTAAATTTAGTGGCTGTTTGGTTCTTAGTTAGTTTTGAAATTGTGCTAAATAGTAGTCTAGGACTGTTCCTGTTATTTTTAAATCGAAGAGGAGACATAGGTTGAGCGTGCCGCAGTAAGTGATCCGCCTTATTCTTTTATTTCTTAGTGAAGTTACATTATCTAAAGTAGAAAAAAGTAGAAAAGTATTCTCTAAGCATTCTCTTATAATTTCTAATCATGTAGGTTCGGATAGAAGTTTGTCTGGAATCTGGGAGGTTTTCAATAAAGATACTTCTTGTCGGGGATATAACATATAATTTGACAAAAGTGGATTTCATACAACACTAGACCAAAAGTAGACCAATTGTTAACAAAACTAACTTTGTTTTTTGAGCACCACCTGGACAACAAGCAGTTTAGCAACCGTAACCTTCTGTAAATTTCATTGCTACCTTGGCTTGGCACAGGGCCAGAGCATATTAAAACTGCAAGAACAATTCGAATTTCAAATCAGAAATCTCATATGACATCAGCTCTTTCATCATGCAGTTAATTGGAAATGAATTTGTTCATCAATTTCTTTATCACTTAACCAGGATGTGTACCTTTTGAAGTCTTTTCCCATTTCCGTTTAATCCTATTTCACTGTTACCGTGTAACCCCTATATGTATATGTTTATAATGTAAGCATAGTTGTGGCAGTGACACTCTTCATTCCGGTAGATGTTCAACTATGCTGTTCAACTAAGCCTGCGCAGTCTTAAATTTTTGCCTTTTTTATGCAGAGGCTGTCTATAAATATTTGACAGGTATTCAATGCTGAACTATCAGTGTATTAAAAAATGTAGCATTGGTCACCTTTTCAAAAAGTAAATTTTAAAAAGTGTAATTGATATAAAAATACCATGATAATCCTCTCTCTCTCCTTGAGTCCTTACCGCACAAAATACAGCAGCACAGCTGTGAAGTTAGGTATATTCAATTTATTACTTGTATAATTTATTATTTCAGTGTCTCAAAGAGAACTGTTGTGAATTATTGTTCTGAAATGTTCTGGCCTTGTGGTTCTGAGTTGTGGTCAAGTTCGGCTTCAGCTTCCTTCCACCTTTTCGCTTAAACAGGGCTCTGGACAGATATTTTGATGATGATGCTGATGATGCATTTTATTTACAAAGCACCTTTCATTTAAAGTTGCATGAAAAAAATGCAGAGTGAGTAAAAATTGCCAAGTGCAGATTTTAAATATTTACTTCAATAACTCACATTTCTCTCGTTTTCAGAATGAAAGTTTTTTCATGAGCTTTTACACTCATCTTTACCAAGAGTGCTAATAATTATGGAGTCGACAGCTGACTATAAAATGAAAACCTTACCATAAAAGACACAGCAAAAATGCAAAACCTGCGTGTGCAGCTTCAAGTTGCCCTGTAAAGCTCAAAATAACCATTTAAAAGTCAGAGATGGTGGGGTTGGGGTTTTTTAACCCCACCTCTTTACAATACATATTTACATATTACATCACAACAAAGGCAGGTTACGCTACAAAAATACTTTGTTTTATGATGGATTTTCAATGTAACCTTTCAAAATGCAAACTTGCTTCCACTAGTTTGCATGTGTCTTCAAATCAATCAGAAGAGATGATTTACTGTCATATGCAAAATTACATTTTATTGATTATTTAAGTGAAAATAAATTAACACATCCACAATGCACAATTACTGTTTATTTGCTGAATGTAAAGCTGCACTGTAGAATATTGTTTTGTTAAAATTGAAAGAGGAAGCATTACTGGGTCAGAGGCTTAAAATATGATGAGCGTGTGCAGCTTCAAGTTGCCCTGTAAAGCTCAAAATAATCATTTAAAAGTCAGAGATGGTGGGGTTGGGGTTTTTAACACTACATCTTTACGATACATATTTACATATTAACGTCACACACGCACAGATTCAAAAAGAGGGTCCAGCTTGATGTTTAGGTTTCAAATGCAAAATCAACATTATACTGATATAGATATGATGTCAATAGTAGATCATTTAATCCTTGGAACACCCTTCACCTCACAAGTCCTGACTAAGTTGTCTTTAAATATTCTTTCAACACCCTCGCAAACATCAGAATCATCTGCTAAGAGAAGGAGTTGGTAACACTATCTGTGTTACTCAAAAATGGTGATTAAAAACAAATTGGCGTTAATTTAGTTGGCATTTATTATGTATTTATTTAATCGTGCCATCATAATAAACTACAAATTTTAATGAAACATCAGTGTGTGTGTAAATACACACACACACACACACACACACACATATATATATATATATATATATATATATATATACATATGTGCATGTGTGTGCATTCGGGAAAGTCTTCAGACCCTTTCGCTTTTTTCACATTTTGTTATGCTGAGGCCTGCAAAAATCTGCAAAAATCAAAACAATTTAAGTTTTTTCCCTGTCAATCTGCACTCAATACCCCATAATGAGAAAGTGATAACAGAATTGTAGAATTTTTTGCAAATTAATTAAAAAGAAAAAACCCTGAGCTATGACGCTTGAAATTTAGCTCTGGGGGCCTCCCATTTCTCTTGATCATCTTTGAGATGTTTCTACACCTTGATTGGAGTCCACTTGTGATAAATTCAGCTGATTGGACAAAATTTGGAAAGACATACACCTGTCTATATAAGGTCTCACAGCTGACAATGCATATCAGAGCAAAAACCAAGCCATCAGGAGGAAAGAACTGTCTGTAGAGCTCAGAAACAGCATTGTACGGAGGGACATATCTGGAGAAGGCTACAAAACATTTCTGCTGCACTGAAAGTTCCCAAGAGCACAGCGGCCTGCATGATTCTTAAATGGAATAAGTTTGGAACAACCAGGACTCTTCCTAGAGCTGGCCGCCCCACCAAACCCAAAGTAATCTGGGGAGAAGAGCCTTGGTAAGAGAGATGACCAAGAACCCAATGATCATTCTGGCTAAGCTCCAAAGATCCTGTGTCCGGATGGGAGAAACTTCCAGAAGGTCAACCATCACTGCAGCACTCCAGCAATCTGGGCTTTATGGCAGAGTGGCCAGACAGAAGCCTCTCCTCAGTAAAAGAAACATGAAAGCCCATCTGGAGTCTGCAAAAAAAGCACCTAAAGGACTCTCAGACTGTGAGAAAAAGATTCTCTGGTCTGATGAAACCAAGACTGAACTTTTTGGCCTCAATTCTAAGCGTCATATTTGGAAGAAACAAGGCACTGCTCATCACCTGCCAAACACCATCCCTACAGTGAAGCATGGTGGTGGCAGCATCATGCTGTGGGGTTGTTTTTCAGCAGCTGGGACAGGGAGACTGGTCAGGGTTGACGGGAAGCTGAATGGAGCAAAGTACAGAGACATTCTGAATGAAAACCTGACCCAGAGCACTCGGGACCTTAGATTGGGCTGAAGATTCACCTTCCGACAAGACAATGACCCTAAGCACACAGCCAAGACAACACAGAAGTGGCTTAGGGACAACTCGGTGAATGTCCTTGAGTGGCCCAGCCAGAGCCCATGAACCCAATCGAACATCTCTGGAGAGACCTGAAGATGGCTGTCCACCTATGGTCCCCATCCAACCTGACGAGACTTCAGAGGATCTGCAGAGAAGAATGGCATCCCCAAATCCAGGTGTGCAAATTTTGTGGGATGATACCCAAAAAGACTGGAGGCTGTAATAGCTGCCAAAGGTGCTTCAACTAAGTACTGAGTAAAGGGTCTAAATACTAACATCAATGCAATATTTTAGTTTTTATTCTAAAATTCTGTTTTCACTTTGTCATTATGGAGTATTGAATGCAGAATGATGGGGAAATTTTTTTTTTATTTTAGCACAAGTTCACAACATAACAAACTGTGAAAGAAGTGAAAGGGTCTGAAGACTTTCCAAATGCATAGTAAAGCACGTGCAAGACATACCACACCTTTTAAACCAAGTACAACAACTTATTTACACAAAATGCAGCTCAGGTGCCACCCAAGAGCCTCTGCGCATGGCCATGCCACGCAAGCCAGAAGCGAGATGCTACAAAATGTTTTTGGTTAGTTTCTGCCATTGTATTGTAACCAATCCCCATTTGTGCCAAATGCTTGACAAATTGCCAAGAACGATGTATTTGGAATGTCTTTAAAATGATGTTAAAAACAAACAACCTTTTAACATATTTACTAAATATTGACTAATCTGATATTTTGTATCATGTGATGTTTTGTGACATCAATGACATTTTGGAAAAGCACAAAGTTATGTTATGCTGTACCTGCATGCATCTATAGGTGTAATTGCACATCATGAAAAATGTGAGGTTTAAAAAATGATTTTGACACAGGTTTTCAACGATCCTCTTTATGGCCCCATCGAGATGCACCCTCTGCTGGTGACAATAATCGATACTCCAGAGTTTCAGCGCTTGAGGAACATCAAGCAACTCGGAGGAGGCTATTTTGTCTTTCCAGGAGCTTACCATAATTGCTTTGAGCACTCCATTAGGTAAATTTCTGATACTTGGCTGGTATATCTACATATTTATGATAGAAGAGTATACATTAATAAGATCATAATGATGTGTCTCTCATTTTTGTGAATAGTGTGGCTCATCTGGCAGGACAGCTTGTAAAGAGTCTGAAAGCTCACCATGGTTTGAATATAATAACTGAACAAGAGGAACTCTGTGTGCAGATTGCAGGACTGTGTCGTGACCTGGGTGAGATATTTATTATTAGACTGTAATGGCTAATGTGTGATGTAACACCATCAAATAACAGAAATTCAATATTGTTTTTTTTTCAATGATGATTACTGAAAAAGGTACAGCATGCACTTACCACTGATATCATCTTCTTAAGTAAATGTATCACAATGCTACTTGTCCATAAATTTAAAGGTTTATTTTACTGGATACATAGACTTTCTCAACATCAAAGTTCAGAAAAGGTTTAGCAATCATTTTATTCACACAAAAACTAGGATTGAAAGTGCATCAAAAATAGGCCAGTCTCCTGGCATGCAACAGGAAAAATCTGTAAAAAAATGGAAAAGGTACTGAATGAAAGTCAGACTGACTGCAAGATGGAAGAAAATGAGCATTTCAAATTGTTTCTCTGTAGTCTTCCTTGGCACTTTGTGGTAACCATGACATGAAATCCTACTGTAAAACAGATATAGTGAACGTTTTGTCATTATAGCACAGACATGACACTGTAATGACAGTTAAGTGTATTTTCTCTGACTCTTAGATAAAGTAAGTGTCATTTAGCTGTAAATCTGTGTTCCAAAACAATGACACTGCAATATGTTTTTTTCCAACTTAAAAAAAAAATCTTTTAAACTAGAGGTGAGCATTTACAGGAGTACACATAAAAATATTTATAAAAGACATTCGCAAGTAAGAGGAAATAAATAGTTTATTGGAAAACTACTTGAGTAATAAAGGTATTTAAAAGTCAAAATAATATGTAGATTTTACAATAATAATGTTCTTTCTAGGGACAGTCCTAATGTTCATGTTGAACGTTAGCTTACATTAATAGGTGTAAACCTCTGTAACCAGTAAATATTCACAGCCTTCAAATTGTATAACTTAGACACCCATATAGTACATTTCTACCATTAAAATTATTAGCAACAAAAGGAATTTATCCAGCTTTGATTTTCCTTACCCATTTATATTCCTCTCGTAATCATACTACCAGACGTCATCAGGCACATCATGACCACAGAAAAAATAAAACTGTAATTGAATTTTCATTGTAAGGGGCCAGCTGATTCAGCTTCAGGTTTCTACATGCGCAAGACAAATTGCCACCCAGCCTATGGCAAAAGCCCCTGTCAATGGAGGCAGAGAGTGGCCTCTCAGTATTCACGAGGAAGCAGGTTCACCTGTGCCTATGGCTATTTAAGAAGAGCTCTATGTCTGCTCTGTCTTAAGTTTGCCTTACTACATGCTGCCTCTTAAAGGAGTCTTTTTAGTTTGCTCATCTTCTCTATGCTCGCCAAACAATTCCACCATCTTCGGGTGGCCCCCTGTCACATCAAGACTGAACCAGAAATATGGACCCAGCAGAGCCTTTGTTAACCAGGCTGCTGCATCAGGCAGGTATGGGCAAATTACAGCAAATTCACTCACAACCACTTTCTGAGCACTTGTGACAAGAAACAGATCCTACTTTGACATCACCCCATGTGGCTCCAGATGCAACTCTTTATTCTGAATGACATCCGCTTTCTCCTAAGCAAAAAGAAGGGGGACGGTGCATGGTGCTAGGGGTCCTTTCATTATATTCACTTTAATTCAAGCAACAGTCCTCCATTTTCTTTTCAGTCATGCCACCGTAGCCTAAATGGAAAGTTCTCTTTCCAGGCCTTCTTGATATGGGAACATTAGCCTCCCGAGTGTCCAGACATAAGCCACTTTACCAAGCTGTGAGCAAAACCTTTGACAATCAGAATTCTCGTCTCCTCGACATTCGGCAGGGCAGTCATTCTGTGGTTGATTATGCTACTGAATTTTGGAGCTTGGCAGCTGAGATCCATTGGAGCACAGATGCACTTATGGCCAGATACCAACAGAGTCTGGTGATAGAACATAGAGACAAGCTTGCTACTCCACATCTGGCTTCATCTCTCGAGAACCTATACGAGTTGACTCTGAAGCTGGAAAATCATCTCAGCGTGTGGTGCAGGGAGCAGGAAGCTCAACATCTATGAACACAATATCATCTGAGTTAGTCAAGGGGATGAATGGAAGACAACCATCATAACCCCGTCAGATCTCTATGAATATTTAGTTATGCCCTTTGCACGAATGAACACCATTCAGTCTTCGAGAGGTTCCACCTGCACCGGAGGTCTGGTGGACTTCCGAACCTTGCACAGCTCCCAGTCAGTGGACCTGCCCATAAAGGGGTATGCCTGCATTTGTTTTTTTTAAATGAGTGAAAAATAAATATTTCAGCAAACAATTTTATACATTTCAATTACCTTCTAATTTTTCTCCAAAAAACACATTAACTGTTTTCTCTGTCACTATTTGTCATTCTGCTGTGTGGGCGTGGACCCCAGTGGGTTGACTGCCAGCCTCAGCATCAAACAAAACCTCTTGGATGCTGCGCCATTTAAGGTGGAATGGGAAAATTCAAACAAGAAGCTAGCAAACAGGAAGCAAACTTCAGCCTCAAAATGATCTGAACACAACCTGGATGAACATTATACTGGCATGTTATTTTCCTTTGTTGGGCGGGGTGCAGTTGCCCTATAAACAATAGAAGATGTTGGGGTCTCGGTGAATGGCGGAGTCTGTGCTTCTGGTTCTCTAGTTAAATTAAATTAGAGAACACAACAATTCATATTTTAAGGACATAAAAGTTCATTTCTTACATGTTGATAACTTGATTTGCAGAGAATTAGATTAGCCACTTTTTAATCATGGTGTGGATTCCACTGTTGACCGAGACTTTTGCTGGCAGGCTTTTACCCGGCTGGTTAACCAGGTCCAGCAAACATGCTTTAACTATACACAGCGGGAGCTAAATGTGGGGAAGTCAATGGCAATTTCAAAACTGTCAGTGCATCACAAAAATTTAAGTGTATATAAAAATACATCTGCCACTGCCTTGCACTTTAAATGCAAAATATTGGATGGTAGGTAGCTAACATTAATGTAAGGTCAACAAGCTAAATTAGATAACAAAATAAGCTGGCTAATGATAGCCTGCACATTTTGTTACATTGTCATTGTAGCTACACTGTAAGTGTCAGAAAAGCTGTTCAGCTTGAGTTGGATGGCAAATCCAGAGCTGTATTGAGCCTACTTTTCAAATCAGCAATACATGATTGCTGCAAACTCTTGTACTGGGTGTCACTTCAAACCCGTAAAGTAATTTGAGCCATTTTTATTTGGTCTCGTTATTTGGAACAGAACGAAGAGCGGTCTCCCTGTTGCATTCAAAAACTGAGCACTAAATGAGTGCCATCTGGTGCAGCTATAACATTACTCAAGTAGAGCGATGCACAGTCTGTGAAGTGTGGGAAAGTCAGTTGATTTCACAGTTCCTGAATATGCAATATAAGGTAGCTTATGATTTGCTGTAGATCATGCCAAATAAAGTGTAATTCCTAATCGGTGTTTAGGGGGCAGAATACAAACAAAACTAAAATGTAGGTCAATTCATGCACTCTGAAGTGTTGGACCGAAGCAGAAGTGTAAAGATAATCACGTATTTTGTGCTAATACAACGTTTTGAGTAAGGAGAAAAAATCCTGGCTGGGCCATTACATATTTTTTTTCATAATGACTATGAATAATATGCAAATAAGGAAAAACCTTAATATTTCAACTTTTATAATTTATTAGTTATGAGCTATGAGCGTGAAACAATCTAACAAATATTAACTATTATAAATTATTACTTTTCTATAGCTGTAATAATTACTAATTATTTGCATGTAACAAATCGTTGTTTTGTGACATTTACTAATGCATGTAATTATTAAGAATCATACGACAATTAACTATAAGATAATTAGTAATTTGCTAAGTGTAAAGGCATGTTATTAGAAATTGCTACCCTAATTTTGTCATAAATGACAATGGCAGTGTACCCTGTTCACTAAACATGGCAGTTTTCCTCATTCCTCATTTTACTTTCTTAAGCTGAAAGTTTGAAGTTTACACCTGGCTTTCTGAGGCACCATGTATATCCTGAAATAGCATTGTCCAATTTACGAAATGATATTGTAGATAAATCTGTTGGTCTGGAAAAAATAAATGGGTAATGCTAGTATATTTTATTTTATTGATTCTGTTCTGGATCCCATGTTAAGGAAAGGAAATGTTAAGGTAAGTTGAGCTTTTTATATTAGCTTTAATTGTAATATTACTATTTAAAATGATAAATTATTATTTGTAATTGTTGACAGGTCTTTCTTATCTTTAGGCTAATGAATATCTAGATATTGAGATTAGAAATCTAGAAATTGACATTGCTTACCAATCTGAGTTTGTTTTTTCTCACAATTTTATTTAATAGGTTGTAATATGTAACATCTTGTGTTTTTAAACATTTCATCTAAAGTCTGAAAAAGTTTTAAGATTTAAAGTTTTAACTGATCAACATCAATGCCTGTTCATCTATGAGAATGCTAATGCCTGCAATATTAGAAGAATTTAATTGAAAAAAATGCATTAAAAGTCATTTTCATCTATTTCAATCATTTTTGAGTGATAGGGTGTTGGGAATGGACTTTATTTTGATGTTACTAGAAAAAGAAAATGTTAATACAATTTATGGGTAATAACCAATAACAAATATTGTTGCAAATGCGTAGGCTATACATGGTTTTAGTGTCTTATGCCTTGCTCCAACAGAAATGTTCTTGACTAATCCCCATTTTTTTAAATTGTTGCTGATGGCTTGTCGTTAAAGCTTTAAACAGTTTTGTTAACTTCATGTGAAATGCATCTTTCTTTCAAACCCTATAGAGATATGACAGGTTTACAGAATCAAAATTCATCTAGACTCACAATTGCTGCCTCTATATTCTGATAGAATATTCTCGATTCCCTTTGACAAAAGTAAGGTGTAAATCTTATCATCTTTAATTAGCACAGAAAGAAATTCTATATTCTACATACAAGATGCCACACAGGGTGTTTTCAGCTGGGACATTTAAGTTCCTTAAAGAAACATGTTTGTTAATGATATCTGTGAATGGAGGTGTAAAGAACTAATTTGAATCAATTTAAAAAATATTAATATAAGGGGTCCTCTTACATTTTGTATGGTTTCTTTAAACTTTAAAAAGGTTCTTCACACTCACATATCTCATTTACAAACATGGTTCTTTAAGGAACCATCTGGTGAAAGTTTTCTCTAACCCCGATGGCACAGCCATCTGTGGCCAGGAGTCCATTGTTGTCTTTTCTCTATCTGGGTGGATAGTCTTTCTTGTCCCCCATCACTCATCACACTGCTATATGGGTGTCTGTTAGCTGACATAAGACAGTTGGTAGTTAGTGTTCTCATCAAAGCATGCTGAGCTGTCCAATGATGTTCCATTAGCGGCAGTTTGAAAAGATGTGGTGGTTTCACAGAAGCTCATGCTACCTTTACCCTCCTATTGTTTCCAGTATTGTTTGATATGGGGAGACTTAGCTAGCAGGTAAAGTTTGAAATGACTAAATCGGGTAGAAAATTGGGAAAAATGACCAAAAACATGCCAAAGAAATATTCTCTAGTGTCTCGTAAAGAATCCTTTCTGGAACCTTTGTTTTTCAGAGTTTGTATTTTGGAAGCTGTTTTATTGTTGTATAAAATGTTAGGTAAGGATTAGATTCTAACAATCAAAACTGTTGTATGTTTCTCAAACGAAGGTCATGGTCCATTCTCTCATGCATTTGAGGAATTCATGAAGAAAGTAAAGCCAAAGTGGAAGGTACTGAAACTGAATTTGAAAAAAACTGTCTCGTTTTACAATTGACAAACACTAAAACAGTTGTAACAGCTCATTATTTTTCATTTATTATTTATATAGGACTTTTGAACATCTCAAATGTATTCTTCTATCGTTTATCTACATTTAACTGTGAATTCCCTTCACAATTACAGATTACTACATAATATGTGTCAGATAATCTAATCTGCACCTTAAACTCATCTCATAAAAACACTAACCTGTTTCTTTCCATGTTGTAGCATGAAGAGCAATCAGTCAAAATGTTTAAAGACCTCATTGGAAAACATAACATTAAGGAGAAGATGGTAAATGAAGGATTAGAAGAGAAACACTTGAAACTGATTGAGGCTCTTATCAATCCAAGTAACAAGGACATTCAACAGGTAAACAGGAATTATCTATAATAATGTTTACTTAGTAATAGTAATAATGTAATGAGACATTGTTTTAATGAATGTGCTTCCAGTAAGTATGCAATATCAGAACAGCAACTTATAAAGTATCATAGCTGCATAAGGTTTGCAGCACAAAGTGCAGTAACCATATGCAAATTGTGTAATAGTATAAAAGTGTGCAAAAGTTCGCAAAGATCATGCTTAAAGGAACAGTTCGCTGATTTTACACATCAAAATCTATATCATCAGCACCAGAAAAAATTTCTGACAAAAAAAAAAATGTTTTCAATGCATCCAGTGAATCCAGAAATAGCCATTTCTGTGATATTAAAATCAGAGACCAGATCATTACAGGAGGTAGTTAGAGCTGTATTCAATGCATTATTATAAACATTTTTCTGAGTTAATGTAAAGCTTTTTCAAAGAGTTTTCTTACACTTTCTTCCTTACTTCTAAACTGACTTGAAAGAATAGGCAGAAATGTTCTGATATGATATTCCAAGGTGGAATATCAGAGATGTGGGACATGTTTGTATTTAAACCTTTAGTGACCATCAGATCCAGGATGTGACCTAGCTCGTGTGTAGTGCTGCCCACATGCTGCTTCAAATCAAATGTCTCTAGAAGTCTTATGAATTCTACTGCGTTATTGTCTGATGGATTATCAATATGTAAGTTGAAGTCTCCAGAGATAAGAATTTTATCATAACTTGTGGATACAACTGATATTAGTTCTGCAATTTCTGCCACTATTTCACTTTGGAGGTCTATACATTACAATTAATAATACAGAGTTGTGGCTAAAAAGGTTGACCACAGCATACTCAAAAGACATAAATTCACCATTTCACAGTTTACATTTTCACTGAGCCACGTTTCTGAAAGAAACACAGTCCTCTGCTCTTCAATAAGATCTCAAATCAGAAAAGTTTTGTTATTTAGTGAACTTACACTGAGCAAAGCGAGGTTTAATTTACTGCTTACTACACGTTTTTGGGGTCGACTGGTCTTTTGTAAAGGAACAGGAATTAGATTGTTGGCGTTTTGGCCATATATGTTTTTCTTTGATTTTCTAATTCCACAGGGTTTGATGCCTCTAATAGTGTTATTGGAACAAAGCTTCTTACATTTTTAAGTGTTTTATCTGTCTCTGTATCGTGGAAATTCTTTGTACTGTTCTTAACCTGACCAGTGTAGGCATCCTTCTCCCTTCATAGCTAGCAGCTAGCAGAAGTGCTGGATGACACACATCTAAGTGACTTGAAATGCATATTATGTCTCACTCACTACAGAAATGCTTTGATTGCCTGGCACAAGCAATTATGATCATATGCATATCTGCCATGACGCATGACACATTGTGTAGTAAACAAGGTAAACCATAAATGAGCATAGACAACAGGTTTAGAAATTCATATTTATTAAACAGCTAGAATTGCAATGCATTATATAACCTACATTGATGCTTCCTATTATTTATCCTTGGAAACCTTTAATAAATTTGGCCAATTTGATGTTAGGGCCATATTCCTGGTAGCTAGTTTAATTAAACTACGCTTAAACCAGACATTCAGAGTTGAAGTCTCAGAGCTGAAGTGTCTCTAACTCCTAAGTGAAAATATTGAAAAAAGCCAATACTTTGCCTTGTAGGACGAGCCTTACTTGCAGCAGATTGTGGCCAATCCCAGAACCGGCATTGATGTTGACAAAATGGACTGTTTAATTCGGTGAGTTTTATTTGTATGTATTTTCTACATGTGAAATAAAATATTTAAGATTGATTTCAAGTATATAATGAACATAATGTATGTTCTATATTCCTTCTTTTTTCTCTTTATTCAGGGATTGCCACTATCTGGGAATGAAATATAATTTCTCCCCTGAACGTTACATGAAATTTGCACGAGTTTGCACTAATGAGAAGGGTGAAAAGCAGATCTGCATGTTAGACAAGGTAATTTTAAATGCACAGAAAATATAGGTCAGAATATTTGGAAACTATATTTTTAATGTTTTTTCTCATCCATCAGGAAGCAAGCAACATATACGAGCTCTTTCACATTCACAACCTCCTTCACCATAAGGCCTACCAACACAGGGATAAAAAAGCAGCTGAACTCATGTGAGTTAATGATTCTACGAAATGTGACCGAAAGAGTAAAACATTCTACTCTCTCTGTATTTATCATCATAATACACATGATTTATGAATAAATTTGACTTTATAAAATGAAACATGCCTTGACGTTTTCAGGATAGTGGATGCGCTGAAAGCAGCTGAAGAAACCTTCCAAATCTCTGCTCAAGTGGAAGACCTCCAAGAATACATGACTCTCACAGGTTCTCTTTCTGTCTCTATTACAAATAGAATATACTGGTAACATTGTAAAAATCAGCCAGTACAAACGTAAATAATCTCACACTGTTAAAAAAATTAAAAATCGTTTATTAAAAAATTTGAAAAAAAGAAGAAGAAAAATTAAACTGTTGGGACCATAGTCATAGTCAATACCCCTGATCAAATTCCGTGTCTTGTTGATTTTAAAAGTGAAAATAAGTTAACACATCCTCTACAGAGAACACACTTAAATATGATTTTTTTCTAGAAATTCATCTCAATTTAACATTTATGGAAAGAGTAAAAATTTATGTGTGTATATATACATATATATATATATATATATATATATATATATATATATACACACACACCGATCAGGCATAACATTATGACCTTGTTTCTACACTCATTGTCCATTTTATCAGCTCCACTTACTATATAGGTGCACTTTGTAGTTCTACAGTTACAGACTGTAGTCCATCTGTTTCTCTGATACTTTGTTAGCCCCCTTTTACCCTGTTCTTCAGTGGTCAGGACCCCTTATGGACCCTCAAAGAGCAGGTACTATTTGGGTGGTGGATCATTCTCAGCACTGCAGTAACACTGATGTGATGGTGGTGTGTTAGTGTGTGTTGCGCTGGTCTGAGCGGATCAGAGACAGCAGTGCTGCTGGAGTTTTTAAACACCTCAGTGTCGCTGCTGGACTGAGAATAGTCCACCAACCAAAAACATCCAGCCAACAGCGTCCTGTGGGCAGCGTCCTGTGACCACTGATGAAGGACTAGAGGATGACCAACTCAACTTTACTCTGACTTTACGTCTGTAAGGTGGACTGACAAGGTAGGAGTGTCTAATAGAGTGGACAGTGAGTGGACACAGTGTTTATCATCACCCAGAATGTGTTCAAGCTCGCCGTAAAAAGGGGCGTGGTCACTTTGGTTTGTGTCGTCGGATTCTTTAAATTTTGCTTTGAGACTTTTAACTGCTCTTCAATGCTGCAGCCTCGTTCTCCTATGGCCGCGTTCGGCCATTTCTTTCAAAATCTCTTCAAACACCAAGGGTTTTGGAAAAGTCTCTTCTAATTTTTGTACAGAAATATCACCCCAAATGTTTATGAGGCTCAGCAGCACGGAATAATGACAAACGTTGTGTTCGATTGACGTAAAAGCCACGTGAATTCCGATCTGGCTGTTCAGACGATTTACATTGAGATATGCAGAGCATATTTACAGTACGAACCTTGTCAGTGAACTATGAGGGCAAAACAACTAAAAAACCCAAAAAAAACAAAAACAAAATAATCGTTCATTAATCATAATCGAGGTAAAACATTCAGTTAATCTTGATATTGATTTGAAGTCATACCGCCCAGCACTAATTGACACACGTAGTGAACACGGACATATATTAACATTAGCAAAAATGTACACACATTTATAAAATTATCTGTGAGACTTAATCATTAAATCTATGGATGTATTAAAGACTCATCCATCTGTGGCTACACACCAGATGTCAGCAACCATCAAGTCCTTCTATACAATGTATATCCAAAAAATGTATATCCACACCATAATACCTTTTTGCTAGGGGGTCACTATTAGAATTGGGCATAAAAAAAGCGTCCCAGTCAGGCTGAGTCTTTCAGAAGTGAAAATAAGGAGGGGTTCACCACTCTGTGAAAGACTGAGTGGGCAAACAGCATCGTCTATGGTGCATACAGTGGTGAACAGTAATGAAGTAAATGTAATTCGTTACTATACTTAAGTACTTTTTCCGTGTATCTGTACTTTACTGTATTTCCATTTTGGCTGACTTTTTACTTTCACTCCACTACATTTCAAAGTCAAATATCTTACTTTTTACTCCACTACATTATGCAAAATCTGTCGTTCCTTTTGACTTATGTGTCTATAAAAATGTTACGTAAAAACGAAAGAAGCACAAAGCAAGCACACCAATCAAGGTACAGCGCGCACTTTGTTTTGAGCTTGTTTTGACCTGTTGGACAAATCTACCCAGTACAAGCACACGGTTCAACATCAGTGCAGTAGTGTAAAATTTTGGGAGTGTCTATTCAACATAAATGATGGAACTAACCTAACTTTGTGTAAATAGACCACAATACAGAAATATGCACACATATGCAGTTGTGACTGGCATGTGTCTTTTTTCTGAATTTATACAAAGATTTCACTTTATAGTAAATTTGTTTTGGCTAGTTTATGTTTATGAACAGAGACCTACAGATGCACTATAGTAAAGGAAAACTCATTTGTGAACCTGTGATAAAGCAAGTTGTTGTAACTATGTTGCAAAAAAATCTTAAACTGAAACCTTACTTGTTTACAAAAGGTTATTTCAGAGCCTCTTGGTTTTACCTAATGGAAATTGACTTCAGTGTTTTGTGCTTATGATAATTTTAATAGACATCAGCGTCAGACTAATTAATGACATTCTATTAAAAGATTGGTTTACCAAGAGTGACAAGGAAGGACTTCTACTTTTACTGGAGTAATATTTTACCCTGGGTATCTCTACTTTAACTCAAGTACATGATTTGTGTACTTTGTCCACCACTGGGTACATAGTGTTTCATCATCTACGATAGATAATATCTTTAAAAGATTTAGAGAATCCAGAGAAATCTCTGTATATAAGGGACAAGGCCAAAAACCAATAATGGTTGCCCGTGATCTTCGAGCCTTCAGGCACTGCATTAAAAATAGACACGATTTTGTAGTGGAAATCACTGCATGGGCTCAGGAACACTTCCAAAGAGCACTGTCTATGAACACAGTTCATCGCTGCATCCACAAATGCAAGTTAAAACTCTACCATGCAAAGAAGAAACCATATATAAACCAGATCCAGAAATGCCGCCGCCTTCTCTGGGCCTGAGCTCTTTTAAGATGCTCTGAGGCAAAGTGGAAAAGTGTCCTGTGGTCCGACAAATTACAATTTAAAAAAATCTTCTTGGAAATCATGGACAATGCATCATCTGGGCTAAAGACCCTCTGGCTTGTTTTTACTGCACAATTCAAAAGCCAATATTCATGATGGTATAGAGGTGCATTAGTGCACATGGCATGAGTGACTTGCACATTTGCGAAGGCACCATTAATGCTGACCAATATTATACATGTTTTGATAACATATGCTGCCATCCAGATGACATCTTTTTCAGGGAAGGCAAACCAGATTTTGCATGTATTACAGCATGGCTCTATAGTAAAAGAGTCTGTGTGCGAAACTTGCATGCCTGCAGTCCAGACCTGTCACCAATTGAAAACATTTGGTGCATTATGTAACAAAAAATATGACAAAAAGTATGACAAAGCAGATGCAGCTGAAATCCTGTATCAAGCAAGAATGGGAATATATTTCACTTTCAAAACTACAGCAGTGTCTCTTCAGTTCCCAAACATTTACAGAGTCTTTATATTATTTTCAATTAAATATAGGGTTTATATGATTTGCATATCATTGCACTCTATTTTAATATTTTTGGAAAATGAGGTTGTATATTGCCTGGCCTAAAAATAAGCATCAATGGGATTTAAATAAGCAAATACCCCCGAAGACCCTTTGATTGGATAATTATTGCAGTGATTAATATGTTTCAGCTTGCAACAATTCTTTTAACCTTAATTGGTGCTGTGAGTAACTTCTTAATTCTTAAACAACCATGTCAGAAGACATATCCTGGGGTCATGGAAAAGATGTTACTGTGTTTCAAAAAGGCTAAATTACTGACTTGCATCAAACAAAGAAAACAACTAATGGAGGGATAGTGGTAAACCATTAAAAAAATGGAAGAAATTTGGTCAGAAAAAAAATCTTGAATGACCATGATCGCAGATCACTTAAATGCTTGATAAGGTAGAATCGTAAGAAAGTAACAGTAAAAATCATGGCTATGTTTTGCAGGAGAAAGAAAAAACAAACTTTACTTTTAATGTAAGTCAGTGGAACCAGACATCTTTTCATGTCATTTTGGGCTGTTTCTTTTGGTTCATTTATCGTGAAATTTACACAATTTAAAAGGAAATAGGCATCTTCAGATTATGTCAAAAACTGAAAAATGACAAAAATGGAGATACGAGGTTTTGTTCTGACAGCAGCAATACTATATACTTATATATATATATACTTATATATATATATATATTATTTTTTATTCCTTTTTCTGTTATACAGATGACATTCTTCAACGAATCATACACCACCAAGACAACATGGACTCAACAGACTCAAACCCTGAAGATATCCTCAAGAGAATTTTTCAACCTGGCATTCAAGGCGTCATTGGTGGGAAAATATTAATATATATACATATATATATATATATATATATATATATATATATATATATATATATATGATTGTGTGTGTGTGTGTGTGTGTGTTAGATTTAATGTTTAGTTTTTCCTTTTCTGTAATACAGGTCGCTTTCTTCAAAACAATCAGCCAAAAGAAGACACAACGGACTCAAAACTCAAAACAGCAGAGAAAGCACAGAAAATCATCAGGAGAATTTTTAAACGTGATTTTTACAAGTTCGTTGGTGGAAAAATACTTGAGCCTGAGAACGTGAGACAACTGGAAAATGCTGAATCCCAGAGAGTTAGTCAAACTGCTTTTTAAGTTGACAGACATTATTATTATATGACCACCTATACATTTTAAATCTCTCATAGAGTTTTTCCCTAGCCAGCTCACTCAAACACATTTGGGCCCACATCCCACAGGACAAATTGGTTAAGAACCAACAGGCATTCTAAGTACCAGTAGAAATATGCAAATTTTACAATACATACTGTTGTTTTTGCATCACAATACATTTTTGTTACAGAATAAGAAAAGAAATGGTAACATAACTTCAATCATTTTATATTTTTTTGTAAAGTTTTTTTTTTTTGTTTTGTATTTTGCATAAGTCATTTTCTTAGAAGATAAAGAAATTAATAAAAACATAGAAGCAATGGTGCAAAATCTATGAAAATATACCAGTCCAAAAAAAGAGAATAAATAAAATGTAAACTATATTGCTACATCTCAACATTAGATGAACTGGGCATTACAAGTTTGTTCAGAATCTGATCTCGTGTTTTATATAAAGTGTGGCTCTGACCTTCTGACTGAAATGAGTGAGAGGGGATTTTCTAATGTGGCTCAATCACTCCCAGCAAACTGTAGAATACACAACCAAAAAGAAGTGGACACTACAATCAAATAGAGGTAGAATCTGCAATCGAATACAAGTGCATATCTTAAAGTAGCTTTTAACATCCCCACAGAGTGAGAAATTTCTTTTCTGCCAGTTCAGAATCTGCACTTAGTGGCTGCTTGAATCTTGTGACTCATGAGACTTGCTAAGACTTGTGTTTTTGCCACAATCCTGAAGTTGGCTTCCTATTCACTAGTATTTTAGTAAAATTCTCTGATGCACCCTAAATAGAGCAGCACATAGGACATTCGAGTCTATTTAGTACAGCTTTATATAGTGAACTATCCCTACAACCACCTGACCACTGAGTAAACTTTAAAAACACACAAAACAACAGCAACCAACATGTATATTTTATCTGTTCTGATCAACTGTGTTTGAAAACGCTTTGTACTTAGATTCAGCGGCAACAAACGTATCAGTCCTATTCACAGTTATTTCTAATAAGTCAGAAAACACCAAATCAGAAAACCAAAAGCATTTTATACACTAGCCTAGTGGTGTAAGCAGAAATAACTTTTTGGGTAGGCCTTTGAGAAGTGGCCACCTTGGGGGTGAGGGGCTAGTTACCTTTTTTCAAATGCATTTCAAACCACCAGGCTACAGCATAACAACAGTGCAGTCATCATTCCAACACTTCTGCCAACGATAGCCAGACTATTCACATCAACAAGAATACTATGTTTACATAAACCTAACCAACACTGCAACACCTTTCACTGTAAAGCATGCATCTACTCACCACAGTTATAAATTTTGCCCAGTGAAGATGACTTAACAGTTCAAGTTGGACTGCTGAGATGTCGAGGAAAAACAACACAGCAAACTTAAAACCGAACCCATCAACCCATCTTCGACTAAAGCATACTGCCTAAGACAGGAATGAAAAAATGTTTACGGACCATTATATCTTACCTTTGATGACTTTTTGCACAGGAGTAGACGCTTGATATGTATTTGATATTTAGACAATGCCATTTTGTCTTAGGTTTTGTTAATTTGTTTTTGACTTAGAAAATTTTTATTTTTATTAGTCTAGGACATCTTTTCACCACAGCTGAAGCTTTAAATTTTTAATATATAGTGCGCTGCTAAAAAAACCGTAAGCTTGATAGCAATGGTTATTAAGCAGTGAAGGGCTGAGAAAATAAGTCTAAGTTTCTTAATTTATCCAAGGCAGGATGTTTTTTCCAGTTTCGGGAGCTGCACAGTGGAGTTTTTAGTTAAGGGTTATCACTTTTAGGAACATGTATTGTGTTAAACAGAACTATAGAAAGCATTCCTGATATCACACATTTTATAGCATGAAATCAATCTGTATTTGATTCACAGTGTATATTGTCTCGCAACCCCTATGTTGAAAAAAATGAATATTAATATCCGTATCATGACACCCCTAATAGTAAACTAATAAAGCACTAGCTGTATTTTCATCAGAGGAAAACTCACCTGCTGGAGGTCATGCATGTCATTAGCATGGCATGTTTTCACACTCTTTTACATTTTCTATGTGTTCGGGGAAAAAACAATAGTTGAAAATTCCCCACAGAATCTTTTCTAGGAGACGTTTATTTCTTAGTTTTAAAACAAAGCAATCAATGGGCCTTAACATCAGACTACATTTAGTCCATACTTTGCTTGCATTTAGTGTGTTTTTGTACCTTTCATAAAACCATCATGATGCCCTTTTCCTACCATCTTTTCACTATCAGGAAATGCTGAGAGAATGGTTGGATCAAATTATGGAATATAAGCCTCTGCCACTCAATGCTGACGACTTTGAAGTTGTGGTAAGTACAGTAAAACATGCACACACTGCAGAAAACTTAATTTGTATTACATTCTGTGGTTGAACTTGGATCTTCTGTGATGACCACTAGAGAACAATGCCACAGACTTATAGTGTACTACCATTTCAAGCACTGAAATGCACCTTAACAGCTTCCATGTTTTAATAGTTCCTAAGAATATGTTTCTAAATAGACAAGTAACAGTAATAATGTGCTACTTATCAAACTAGGAAACTAGCAAAATACTATTTGACATTCCCAAATTAATTTTGCGTGGCATGAGACCAAATAGAAAAGAAAATCCCAAGGTATAGTACTGTTCAAAAGCTTAGAATCACTTTGCTGTAAATACTGTAATTTTTCCAGTAATAACATATATAGTGTAGATACCAGAAGATATTTGAAGAGTTTTTATTCAATATTTTATTCAATATTTAATATTTTCTCTGAAACAACAAGAAGTTATTAAATGATAACTAATACACTGTAATTATATTGTTAGAGTAATGTCTTGATAAGTCATCTGCCGTCTTTTCAAATACTAGGCATTCTCGGTATTCTACAGCTTTCTCATCTCAAATCATCTACAGCTTTGCTCATCATTCTGTACACATCTCATGTCAACATTTCTTCATTTTGTAGCGCTTCCTATAAATTAGTTGAAACCTACGAAGTTGTACAGTAGTAGTATCTTAATAGAATCATTAGGGGTTGATGCACATAGTGCCCCTAATCAGACACACAAAATGACAAAAAATCAGCCTGATTGTGATGAAACTTTGCAAGCTTATGTGATACACGGTTCTGAGGTCATCTGTCAATTTCTGCACATGTATGTCATTAGAGGGTGTGCTGCATCTTTGAACAAGATTTTAAGTGGATCCATATAGACGACTTGATAGCTTGAAAATTATTTTCACCGTCAACCAATCAAATTATCAGTATGCATTTAACAGGCTTAACATTGACCACTGATCATGAACCATGAACGGTATGTCCACAAGGGAACTTTCATCCTGTAAAATTTTGACAGATCTGGCCACTGGGGGGCGCTATTCATGTTTTAAACAGTTAAACTAACTATATGCCATCCTCCTCTCAACTTGTGGACATGAAACTGGTTCCCTGCAGTGAGATGTTCAACTTTGTTATTACAAATGTTTTTTTCAAATGCATAGTTTTATCAATTCTTTTGAAAACATCTCTTTTCGAAGTAGTCCTACAATTTTTATCCAATCATTACAAAATTGGTTTTTGAAATAATCTGTAGCTTCTGTAGGTAAATAATGATCAAAAATTGTTGCCTTTTTTGTCTACTACAGTTTCCACATATCTGTCAATTGTTGTGGCCATAGTATTTCTCACTTAATTTGCAAAAACTTAAGAACAGTTAGTCTGACCACCAAAAAAAAAAACACACCTGCATACATTGAGATTCCAATGAGGCATGCAAAATTTGACATAGTTTTACTTTTAGGGGGTGCTACAGTGCACAACAGCTTAAATTCATTAAGAACAAAAAAATCTTATTGCCATTATTTTCTGTGTTCTACTGAAGAGAAATGAGGGGCTTTTTAGCTTAACAACTATGCAATTACAATTCATGCCAGAACTGAACTGCTTGTCAAGCATTTTGCAGGGGTGGAAATCCCTATTTATGTACATAACCTTAAGTAAAAGTACTGTTACTATAGTGATAATTTACTTGAGTACAAGTAAAAGTATTAGTAAAGAAAATTACACAATAGCAAATAAGTAGTTTATTGGAAAACAACTTGAATTATCAAGTTACTGTTTTTATCACAACTAGAAAATGTTTCTGAATTGACTTGGGTACATCATTGGAAATAATTTGTACTGACAAAACTAAATCAGAACAATAAAAAAAGTTCTGTTTCCTGAGACTGATCACAGTATGCTTCACTAGTGCACATTTACAAATCTTTCTGTGAACTGTGCAAGAAACCAGGTTTACAATAAACAATATGCATTGGTTAGATGATTATATAAGGCTTCCTAGGATATCTGTTTCCAGCAAAGCAGTTTAGAATCCCTGAAAGGCTCTGAGGAGTTTGTTATTGTTAAATTAGGTCTATTTCTTGGTCTGACTTTACAAAAAAACATATTATTTAAAAGTCAAAATAATAGGTAGATTACACATATTAATTAATTACAACATTAATAATGTAATTTTTAAGGACAGCTCTGCAGCCCATTAGCTTCCTGAACATTAGCTTACATTAATGGGAGTGAACCTCTACAGACAGTAAACATTACATTCACAGCCTTCACACTGTATAAATTCACCGATACCTGTATAGTACATTTATATCATTAAAGTCATTATCGACAACAGCAGTTTATCCGGTGCTGCTTTTCTTTATTGTGATATATTTCACTGGTAATCACACTAAGTACTTCACACACACTCGGACATTTGATTTTACTTTATTTGACATGTAAAGTTAAACAGTTGAACAGGCTGTCATACAAAGACAAAGGCAGAGAGATAGAGAGAAAAGAGTTAAGTGACCAGAAGGTTGCTGGTTCGATCCCCTGAGCCGACAGTACATGACTGAGGTGCCCTTGAGCAAGGCTCCTGACCCCCAACTGCTCCCCAGGCGCTGCCAGGGCTGCCCACCGCTCAGAGCAAGTGTGCTCACTGCCCCCTAGTGTGTGTGTGTTCACTAGTGTGTATGTAGTGTTTCACTGCACGGATGGGTTAAATGCAGAGGTGAAATTTCCCCGTTGTGGGACTAATAAGAGTCTCTTTATCTATTCTTAATGCCAATAACCTGCTCTGCTTAGTCAATTAAAGCAATATTTTTCTGATGCACTTTCCTTAATTATTACTGTAACTATTACTGACATTATTATTCCATCTCCATTATTGCAGCTTATCAAATTTAACTACGGCATGAAACGGAAGAATCCAAATGATGTTCTCCGATTCTACAAGGAAGATAATCCAGACCAACCGATACAACTGCCCGAAGATGAGGTACTACATTCAAGAACGTTTTCTGAGTGTTAGTTAATTTTCTTCAAAAGACTGCGAATTCCCTAGCCAAAAATTGGTAAATTATTCACTAGCAATCAGTTTTATGAACTGGAATTTACATGCATGGATTTGTCCATAACCATATTGGTGCCTCTGCAGGTCTCATATCTCCTGCCTCAGAAACTTGAAGAAACCAAGGGCATGCTTTTCTACAAGGGAGATGATGTCTTTGTTGAGGAACTGGCCAAGGAGTATATTGAAGTATTCTGGTAAGAACTGCAAAAGATTTCTGAAGATCAGTGAGAGGCTCTACTCACCAAAAAGTCACAATGATGATGAGAAAACTTGAGAGAGAATGCTGAAAGCACTAAATTAGAGGTGTTTCAGGTGGTGCCTACTGTATATACTGTACAACTTTTTGAGTAAACATTATCTTTTCTCCTCCATGCTTTAATGTTTCCAGGACAAACATGATGGAGGACTCCAAGGCAAAATGGCTCAGTGAGATCTTTCCCTTTGCTCGTAACCAGCATGAGTTGAAAGATTTTATGGTCAAGAATTCATTTTTATAGTTAGTTGAGGCTCTGGGCTCCCAAGTGGTGCAACTATGCAAAACTGTACAAAAATTGTATCTCGGCAAGTTTAATCCTCTTAAATCAAAATAACAGATACATCTAATATTTCTCATTTTGAAGTTGTTGTAAAAATGTTACAATATAACTTAATGAGTACATATCTTACATTTTTTGAGGTCCACATATAACAATTATGTGATTTTACACACCAAAAATCCTAATTCATGTGTACATAAGCATCTTCCAAAAGTTCTTGATCCCTTAGAAATATAGAGGCTCCTTTACAGAAAAAGGAAAAAACCTACATAACTTTTAATGTAAGTCAATGGAACCAGACTTTTTTCCATGTAATTTTGGGTCTTTTCTTTTGGTCCATTCATGTACACACCATGTAAAGGACAACAGACAAAAATGGAGATATGAGATTTTCTTTTGACAGCATATATATATATATACATGAGCCTTATTAAGCTCTATTTTATGTGCTTAATAAGTACAATGAATTTCTGTCTTTTTCATTACGTCTCATTTATCTTTTATGTATCTTATAATGTGGTTATTGATCTTTTCTCTTCCACTTAATCAATTCAAACGTAACAATAACTGCTTGTTGCAAAGTGCCTTCCAGAGTTATCAGAACTCAGGATGTTTTAAGCTTAGCTAACTAATGTTATTTTATGTAATTATTTATTTTGTTTATTATTTTCTTATATTATGATGATATGATTACTGTTGGTTACTGTAGTTGGAAAATTGGTATTTTATTTCTTTATTTGAGAATCATTACTTTTGTAGTTTTAGTTTTCTTCATCTATGGAATGTAGAATGTGGTTTTATTCTGTGGAAGGTGGCACTGAATTTATAGTCAGACCATACTGTACTTGATAAAGGAGACAAGAACACTTGAGCAAAAGAGGAGAGAAATGGTTCAGCTGGTAACATCTTGTAACAACTGAACTGTACAGCACACACTGTAACTGTAAGCTCTCCTCTATAGTACATGCCTTGGTCAACTTTATTTAGGGAAATTCTAGTGATTCGCAAAACACACACATTCTAACATGTTACTTATTCTGTTTCAACTGTCCAAAGATAAGAGGCAGCACTGAAAACGGCTTCAGTTTAGATTTTATTTTTAAAAATGGAAATCTGTCTCTATAACATCCTTATGATTTATTTTTTTATTTCAGAAATAAACATGTTATACATTTGTGTGTTTTTACTGTGTGTAATGGGCTTGCTCTATGATCACAATAAACATGTGAAATGTCTGAAATGTGTGTGAAATGTAATCATGATTAAATGAGTAAACGTCCTTGAGCTTTGTATGGTGTTGCTGACACATTAGAAAAAGGTTCAGTGTCTAGGATGTCCGCACTGTGAGGTTTTAACACTGGTTAAAACAAAGAGGTGAGGGATCCAGGGCTCCAGACTAATGCAATCATAATGCTAATCTCCATTAGCCTGTCAATGGGAGGTCCTATGCGATAATGCCATCGAGCTTACGATTGTGTCTGTTCTCGTTTTAGCGTGCTCAACCTTAAACACGGACAATTAAAGCTTGTAACACAAAGTAACACAAGTACTTTGTATGTTGGAGTTTTACCATCTCTCTCGGTAAACTGGTGAAAAATGGTAGCACTATTGACAGACTATAGTCTGGTGCTTATTCTGTACAGGGAGAGCCTATCAAGTCCCATAGCGCCCAAGTATTTAACCCATTTAGACCCAAATTATGTTCCAAGGCACAAAAATATGATCACCCTGTATTCTTATTCTAAACCCAGGCATAAATGGTAAATCAAATGTTAATTATTGCTCACAATTACTGTTTACTAGCTATTTTTGATGTTAATTATAGAGCACTGAGCAGAAATATTCCACTGTTGCTATAAAATCACTTAAAAAGGTTATTGCACAAAAATCTGAACACAACCTAAGTTTACAGTGATTCTGTATTTCTTGTGGTTCACATGGAGTAAAGCAATGCTTTAGAACATCACGTACTTGTTTATAAAGCAGGGGTGTCAAACTCAACCACTAGAAGGGCCATATTAAAAAAATCTCAACAAATCTTTGGGCCAGAGATCACCTTGGTTTTATTTCTTTTTTAATTAACATATTGCTATAAACCGGACTGACCACAGTTTATTCAAACTACGCAAAAACTTCAACAGTAAAATGTAGGCACTTGTAGTAGACCTTGAAATATTACATGAACACTTCAAATATTCAAGATTTAAATGTCCCCAGGTGCTCAGTCTTTTAAACCTACCTATTTGCTAGATGTAGACACCTGACATCTTCCCTTTGCTGCAAGTTCATTAACACTTGGGCTCAATTTCTGAGCTAACGTTAAGTGTTTATATTGGCTGAACTGCAGTTAGCTGTTTAGTGATACAGCTGGTGTGAAACTGTGTGGAATTGTGTAGAATTGAGGTGTAACCGCTGTCCCATAGACTGCACATTATCACAGAAAGGGGTTTAACCTCTTATTCTCCAGTATATTTTGGTTTGTCCATCTGACTGTACATGACCAAATCGAAGGGCAAATTATTCAGTAACTGCATGAAATAAATTTGTACTTTATTTATTTATTTTAAAAGCTCTCCTCAAATGAACAGAAAATGTGTCACACATATTGCTATATGCTTGCAATTTACTGCTGAAAGCCAAAAATCTCAGATACTCTTTGTATTATTTTATAAAAATAATATTTACAGAGCAGATCACTGAAGAGACGCCATCTGTTTATAGTTTATAGCCCAGATTTGTGGAAAAATGGGTCGACTTTCAGCAGAAAAAGAAATTGTGAGTTCAGCTTCTTTTATTATAAGGGTTTAAAATTACATCACTCATCTATTTGACTGTAAAGAAGACAGTTACAGCTCTCATATGACACCCACCTTTTGAATGTAGCTTATGAAATATGAAAGTTATGAAGAATATGATGAAGTGCGTTTTGGAACCACCGGTGGTGTCAAGGAGTTGAAGAGGTTAATATTTTAGATGATCGATTTTCATTTTGGGATAGCTGACAATCTGGAGTCCAGGTGGGATCACAAGTAGAGGCCATACTCTTCCGTCTCTCTCTGTCTACTATGAACATTACCAGCCAGATTGCTATAAACTAGATTTTTCCACATTTGGCAAATTAAGTATTTGGACATGCTGAACTGAGTGTACTTTAACCTTTTTTTTCATTCCTTAAATAGCATGATAAATGCTAATTATTTATTGACGTTTTTCCACAGGACAGCGCCGTACGGTATACAGTATAGATGGAACAGGAAATAGTGCAACCACTGACTGGTCAAATGCAATCATCACAGAATCATCGCACACTGTCACTCTGAGGCTGACACATTATTTATCCCAAACAAACCTGACCCGGGTTACCTTCAAGAGTTTAAATCATTTTTGTTTTTTTTGAGTTTCAAATCCATCATATCCACTTCTACACCCTGTCCAGTCTTTCTGAAAAACTCCCAACATTATTTAGTACACAAGAAAGAAAATTAATGAATACCGTCCAAGCACAATGAGGTAACTGACAAGGTCATGAGGTCACTTTGCATAATTTTTCTGATAAAAAAAAATTAAATCACATGAGATGTATTATTTATCTGTAGGATTTATTACTAATTATTTTAAGTCTCGTTGTGCATTGGAGGACCCCCTGAAGCCCAATCTAGGTCTAATTTGATTAAGAACTGTCAAAGCTGCAATGCTTCACCAATATGTGGCAACTATGATGGGTAAAATGTACCTGCCTTATTTATAAATATCAATATTTTTATGAAAACTTCTGAGGTTCAAGCTCTCACAAGAGGGATAAGACCTAAGCAACTTCTTAAACAGCTTATAGCAACAAACAACCCTGACCTTTTTAGAAACTCCTACCTTGTACTTTCACTCACTGGCCACTTCATTAGAAACACCTACCTTGTGCCTCCACTCTGTCCACTTTACAAGCTCCACCTACCTTACAGGTCCACTATATCGGTGTACAATTACAGATAGCAGTTCACTTATTGCTGCACAATTTATCATCCCCCGTCCACCAGATTGCTCACTGGTCACTTTCTGACTATAAAATTGCTGTTGTCCAGATATTATTTGGGTGGTAATCAATTCTCAGCAAGCCAGTCACACTGATATGGTAGTCTGTGTGCTGGTTACACACATCTGTGTCATTGCTTGGTTAAAAGTGGTCCACCACCCAAATATATCCACACAAAAGCAGGTCATTGCTCGTAAACTGTAAATACATAAAAAGATATGGGTATTTTGACTGTAATGGATAATGGCTATTATCCCGCTTCTAAAGTAACTGCCTATATTTTTTTCTTTCCTTAATAAAACCAAATACATTTTATGCGAATGGAATTCTTAAAACAGGACCTACTGCAGGATAATAACAAGCTTCTCAATTAAATTTAAATATTTTATTTATTAATATATTTTAAATAAATATGAGCTATTTTAATCTGCATGTAATCTTTTTTAATGGCACTTCAATTATAATGTTAATAAACTAATAAACATATTTCTGTTGTTTATACTCAGTTTGCTGCACATTATTACGATTTTACAACAAAAACATAATTTTAAACGATTTTTACTCACAGTTTTCTGTCAGTCACCGCAGCTGCTGACGCCGTTGAACCGTCTCTGCTGTGATGGGCTTCCTCGCGCGCCGCCGCCGTAATGGCGGGAAAATCAGACCCAACGGCTGCGATGCTAAACCAGATGTACATCTCAGTAAAGTGACCCAGTTACACCTGATTTGGACAGAAAATAACACAAACCAGTAGTTAAGCGTGTTATAAAGTGGACAGTGAGCGTAAAACTCTCATACAAAGCAAATCTCGGAAACATTTAGCTACCAACACAAACTCAGTTTTTCTGTGGAATATATAGTTTAACTCTTAGCTAATATTTAGGCTACACACAATGAGCTTAACTGAACTTCAGCTCACTTCTTCACTCACCGTCATTTAAAAAGAGAAACTGCAACACCATTAAAACACACCTCTCCACACTGAATTATTTAAAACAGGACAGTTTTTAACTAAAACTGCCTTTTATAGGGGTGGCGAAGCAGCCTAAAACTCTGCGGGCTTCTCTGTGTCTTGTTTGGCTATTAGATGAAGTGTTTTATTCCCACCCGTATTCCGACAGATCCCGCGATATGAGGAACGCTTGCGTATGTGAAATTCTAGCCAATCATAGCGCAGGGTGGAGAAAACTAGCCAATCCTAATGCAGGAGGCGGGATTTATCTGAATACGGGTGGGTGAAAATAGAAAATAACGCTTTCTCGGGCGCGCGCTGTCGTTGGCATGGAAACTGACCGAAGAACTCCGAGGAAATCCTCCCCTGGCGTGAAATAGTGCCTACAATAAAACAGTAAAAGTAATGGTTTCTAAACGATTTTCTGGCATAAATGTTTTGAGAACAGCTCAGAAATGCGTTCTGTATAACTGGGACACTGATGTTTTGGAAATGAATATGTTTAGAGGATTTAAAAAGCTTACTACGTCTTTAAAATCTTCAGATTCAGGCAAAGCAAGACATCGAGAAAATGAATCCTGCCTCCCACCTGGTGAAGGTTGTCTGCAGGCACCTTTAATGTAAAGTAAAGCTTTTTATGCCACTTCTAATGTAATTTAAGAGCAAATTTGCAGTAACAGTTTTTGCGAAGTTCATAAAAACACTCTTCAGAGTACCTGTATCTCTGTAAATCTCTAACGTTAGGTTAACACAGGCCCCTGCATCACCACAACAACCCCATATTATTAAATGCAAAGTGTGATGTCATGTTTTCTAACAAAAAGAAGTACTATCTAAAACCTAAATCTAAAACCTTGTAATTTTTCAGTAGGCCCTCGAGCTAGTTACTTATAGCACTCTCGTGTACAATTCAAAAATGTTAAAACTTCATAAACCTACCTACTTAAACAGGAACTTTTGATCATTGGAAATGAAATAAAACTCACTATTTTAACCAAAAGCAGTGAATGAATAATTGTTTACTTGTCAGTTAATGGATTATCCATTAATCATTTACATCAGAAGTCTGAATAAATGTCACAAGCCGCACTCGGTGTGTAAAGGCCTTAAGAGTTTGATATAAACATTGTTCAAATTTGTGTCAGATTTTGTGATTCATTCAAAATGGGCTGTTTTTGCAATTTCTTTATATGGACTGCATGGACTGAGGAGTGA